AAATGACTCAGCCTGCAACTAATAATATGGATGGAGAACCTCAGTTTAGCTTGTTAGTTTGTCGTGCTAGTACCGAGCTAATACATATAAGGCAATTTAGAGTTGGCGCTAGCGCAAAAGCTAACAGGTTAAGCTGTTCTTCTTCCATGAAGCAGCTCTGTTGTCCTCCATCCATATTTTCAGTTACAGACTGAGTCAAATCTACCTTCTCCTCTCTGTCAACGCTCTCTGGTTTCATTTTAGAGTCAATCATCAGATATTGTCCAAGATTAACCTTCAGGGTGGATATAGCTCGCTCATACCTATGACATATACACATCATCATTTACCCAGAATGCTTTGCGTGTAAATAAAATGGCTAAAAATGGTGTTAAAATATATTTTTAAAAATTTACAAAACTAAACAACCTACAGTATTTTTACAGTCTTTATTTTACAGTTAAAATAAATGTTTATCAAATAAAGTCTAACGTTACAACTAATCATGAATCCCTTTAAGAGAGAAAACAACTCCACATCATCAGCATTTGACCCGATTCTCACCTCACAGACGGTGCAGTGGAAACGCGTCTCCACGTGGTGTTTACACTCGTTGCAGGTGTAGACGAAACGGTCCTGGCTCTGGTTGTGGAGCTCCACCAGCATACACATGGAGCTCCACTTCGACCTCCTGAGAGAGCTGAACTCCAGGTGCTTGTCTCTGGCCAGGGTCAGGAAGGCGTCGCGGCCGTCCATCAGGTCGCAGGCCATCAGCGGGTCTGAGTCGGTGATGGGGGGCAACGAGTTGGCGGTGGGGCCCGCGATGAGGCGGATCACGAAGAAAACCTGTCAGGCAGAGTGCAGGAAGTTGACTACTTCTGTGGCACGGGCCACTTTAATAAGTCACGTGATATGTCAGTAAAGCAGTCACCTCTTTATGTTTCTCCATGGTGGCGTAGAGTTTCTGTGACAGGTCATTGGAAACACTGGGCATCCCCGGTTTCTTCTTATTGGCTCGGCTCAGGCTGCTCTTGTTCTTGCTCGTCTTTTTATTGTTCTTCTTCTTGGCGTTCTTGCTGTCTCCTTTTGCAGCCTGTGAAAGTTTTAAAGGAAATTTTAAAAAGTTGCATACGGTGACGGTGTTAGGACCCTCTGTTCTCTACTCACGTCTGTGCTCTCGTTGGACGTGCTGTTCTCCTCCCTCTTCCTCTCCTCTTCCTCCTGCTCCAGCTCCTTGATGCTCTCCTCAAGCACGTTGGGCCAGAAGTCYCCCTCGAAGTATGGCAGCTCCTTGGCACTCGTCAGCCGGTCTTCTGTTGCCTGTTTGAAGATGTCCTAAAGGTCCAAAGGAAAAGCAAAACAAGGTTTTTAGATTCATAAAACACACAGTTCAAAAAGTCCATCGGGGGGAAAAAAAGGAAACTTGGTTTAAATAATAGTTGTTACTAGGGCTGGGTATCATGGCCAATTCTCCTCTTAATCGATTCGATTTCGATTCGTTAAGTTCAGAATCGATTAATCAAGATTCAATTCGATTCAATGAAAATGTTTATTAACATTTTTTTTCTCTTCAACATAAACAACAGGTTTTAAGGACAAACTTTTAAATTAAACTGTTTAATCTTGAAAGAAAACTGTCACAAGTTTAAAAGGTTTTAAAGTAAAAAGGAATTGCAGGTGACAGAGTTGTTGGATGCATTCATTTTTAAAGTGTAACTTACCCCCCCTGTGAAAAGATAACTCCGCCCCAAGGCGAAATTTGAAAAATGCATCAAAGTGGGTAGGGGAGGGGGTGTGGGTGGAGGAAGGGGGGTTAGAGAGCGGAGGTGTGGCCAGGTCGAGAGAACGTGACAGGCAGCTAGCA